TTTTGAGAAGGAGTCTTGCTCTGTTGCCCAGGCTGGAGTGCAGTGGTGCACTCTCAGCTCACTGAAACCTCCCCTCCTGGGTTCAAGCGATTCTCGTGCCTCAGGCTCCGGAGTAGCTGGGACTACAGGCACGCACCACCATGCCAGGCTAATTTTTGTATTTTAATAGAGACAGGGTTTCACCATGTTGGCCAGGCTGGTCTCGAACTCCTGACCTCGTGATCCACCTGCCTCGGCCTCCTAAAGTGCTGGGATTACAGGCGTGAGCCACCGTGCCCGGCCCTTCCTGCCTTTTCTTACCTCTCACTTCTCTCTACTATCTCAGATGCCTCCTCCTCCAGGAAGCCCTCACTAACTCCTAGGCTGCTGAGGCACTCCCTCTTGGGCTCCCACCCACCCCCAGTCTTGCAACTCCAGCCCTAAACACTCCAGGTTGTCACTCTGGAGACTGGTCTGCCTCCCCCACTGGACTGTGAGCCCTGAAGGGCAGGTCCAGGACTGTTGTGGTCACCCCTGTGTCCCCAGCACTGGGTTTGGCTAGAAGAAGGGTTTAGTTGAATGAATAAATAAATGAAGATCAACATGCAGCCAGAGTGGCCTGTGGGGCCCACCTGTCAGCTGGCACCTCCCCTGTCCCCCGTTTCAGATGACAACATCTATGAAGTGATGCCCTCTCCGATCCTCCTGGTGTCCCCCATCAGTGACTCAGGGTCCATGAACCCAGCCCTGGTGAGTCCCGTCCCTGGCCTCTCCCCTGAAGCCAACACTAACAGGCGCCCCCTCTCTGAGCTGGCTGTGGTCCTCCATGCCACCTTGACACCAAGGTTGGGAACCTCAACTCTCTTGAGGTGCTGGGATTACAGGCGTGAGCCACTGCGCCAGGCTGAAAAGTTTATAAAAGTCAGTTATTTAGGCCAGGGGTGGTGGCTCACACCTGTAATCCTAGCACTTTGGGAGAACAATGCAGGTGGATCACCTGAGGTCAGGAGTTCAAGACCAGCCTGAAACCCCATCTCTACTAAAAACACAAAAAATTAGCTGGGCGTGGTGGCATGCACCTGTAATGCCAGCTACTCGGGAGGCTGAGGAAGGAGAATCACTTGAACCGGGGAGGTAGAGGTTGCAGTGAGCCGAGATCACACCACTGCACTCTAGCCTGTGCAATGGGAGCGAGACTCCATCTCAGGAAAAAACAAAATTATTTAGATTAAATAAAAAGAGAAATTTAGCTGGGCATGATGGCTCATGCCGGTAAATCCCAACACTTTGGGAGGCCCAAGTGAGAGGATCGCTTGAGGAGGGGAATTTGAGACCAGCCTGGGCAACATAGTGAGACCCTATCTCTACAAAAAACTAGCCAGGCATGGTGGTGTGCACCTGTAGTCCCAATTACCAGGGAGGCTGAGGCAGGAGGATCGCTTGAGCCCAGGAGTTTGAGGCTGCAGGGAGCTGTGATTGCACTCCTGCACTCTGGCCTGGGTGACAGAGCAAGATCCTGTCTCTTTCTCAAAAGTAAAAAATAAGAGAAACTTAAAACTCTAAGGCTAAGAGCTTAGAACCAGAGGTACTGACAGGGATAGACTGAGCATTAATGGAGTGATTGACAGGCCACTGGGTACCACATGAAGCTGAGCCCAGTGCCCACTTGTCAGAGGAGAATGCTGAGGTAGAGGGAAGCTAATCCCCTCTGCCCGGGGGCCTCGAAGCCTGGGAACAGTGATGGGGACTTGGAATCTGGGACTGTCCCGGCATCAAAGGTCAACAGTTAGAGGATGGGGGGTGGCGGGTGCCCACCCAACTCATGTCCTTACCTTGCAGCCCCTGCCTGCACCTCCACCCCTGCAGGCAGGGCCAGAGAACCACCAATACCAGGTATGGAGCTGGGAGCTTGGAGGGGTGGGGGGACCCCACAGATCCAGGAGCCCTGAAGCCTGGGTGGGGAGGGGTCAAGATGACCAAAACTGGGGCTCTCCTCCCCTCCTCCCCCAAGTCTCATGGTCTCAGCTCTGGAAGAGGCCCAAAACCACCGCCCTGAGAGATCCTAGCAAGTCCCTTTTCCTCCCAAGGCTTCAATTTCCTTCTTTGCAAAAGAAGCTTGAATTTGCACAGGAGGAACAAGGCCCAGAGAGGGACAGGGGCCTGCTGGGAGCCACACAGCCAGTCAGGGACCCAGTGAAACCCCATGGCAGGGCTTAGTCCCTCTCCCTCCCCTCCTGTCTGCTGCCTGTCCCTGTATCTCTGTCTCCTTCTCAGTGGCCTACATATGTGTGTGTGTCTGTCGTGCCCTTTCTTGGAGCCTCTCTCTCATTTCCCTGGCTGTGTTCTTATAATCTCTCTGTCTTTCTGTTTCCAGCTTGCTCATGCTGCCCTGTCTAAGATGCATCTCTCTATACATCTTTATTTCTCTGCACCTGTCTTTCCTCAGTCTCTCTCTCTGTCTCCATTCTCTGTCTCTCCTGCCTCTTCGTCTCTGTCACTGTGTCTGCCTCATTCCCTGGCTCGTCCAGGTCCTCCTGTCTCTGTGTCTCACTGTCTTTCCACGTTGCTCTTCCGTCCTCTCTGTGGCTTGCTTTCTCTCCATCTCACCCTGTCTCACCTCTGTCCCTGTGTGTCTCCCCCAGACTCTCACCCTCCACCCAGTCATCATTCTGTTCTCTCTTCCCCCCAAGCAGGACCTGCTAAACCCCGACCCTGCCCCCTACTGCCAGCTGGTGCCAACCTCCTGACGGGTCCTGGGCCAGGCCAGCTGGGGAGAAGACAAGGCCCCAGCCTCCTCTGGGAGCCTCACGCCTAAGACCAGCAGGACGAGGCCATCAAGGGCTCAGCACCACGTGGGGCAGGTGTCCCAGCAGGGAGGCAGGAGCCTGTAACAGGCCCAGTTCCCTGCGCAGCCCCTGAGTGCACGCCCTGCCTTCAGTCCGTTCTTTCAAGCAAGCAGGCCTGGGCTGTGTGTCTAGAAAAGCAGGCTCTGGGACCCTCCCATCCCAAAGTCCCCCAGGATCTGGATATTTGGGGACACGGGGGTAGCCTCAGGCCTGCCTCCCAGGCAGTTGGCTGCGCTACCAACTGTCTCCTGACGCCACCTCCCACCCTTTCCTCTTCCCCACTCTGTCTCCACCACACTGACCTTTCTGCTTTTTTTTATTTTTGAGACAGAGTCTCACTCTGTCGTCCAGGCTGGAGTGCAGGGGCACGATCTTGGCTTGCTGCAATGCCCTACCCCACTTCACAGTGACCATCAGGGTCTTTCTCCCTGGAGACAAAGCAGACCCCCCACCATGCAGGCCTTAGGTAGCAGAGAGGCCCAGCCTCACAGGCCTGTGGTCCCACATGCCAGTTCCAGCAAGGTGACCAAGGCTGCCGGGCCCTCCCTGTTCAGGATGCCCCTGCCCCTCTCAGGACCTGCTGCCAGCTGCTGGCCTCGGCCCCCACTCCGAACCCCACCAAGTCCCCCGGCACAGCAGCTCCCTTCTCCACCCCGCCCCAGCCCCGGTCCCAAAGGTGGGCTCCGCTTGTCGCTCCCCCAATCTATGCATTCATTCAGCAATAAATGAGCCTTTGCTGTATGCCAGGCCCAGGTTGAGACTCTTGCAGCCTTGGTAGAAAACAAAACCAAAACTCCTGGCAGGGCGCAGTGGCTCACACCTGTAATCTCAGCACTGTGGGAGGCTGAGGAGGGAGAATCACGAGGCCAGGATTTCCAGACCAGCCTGGCCAACACAGTGAAGCCCGTCTCTACTAAAAATACAAAACTTAGCTGGGCCTGGGAGCAGGCGCCTGTAATCCCAGGTACTCAGGAGGCTGAGGCGGGAGAATCACTTGAACCTGGGAGGTGGAGGTTGCAGTGAGCCAAGATCGTGCCACTGCACTCCAGACTGAGCAACAGAGCAAGACTCTGTCTCAAAAAAAAAAAAAAAAAAAAAAAAAAAATTGGGAAAAGGCAAGAAAATGAATTCTCGCCCTGGAACCCCCAGAGAGCAACACAGTCCCGCTGAAACTGACTTCAGTGCAGTGAGACCCATTTTGGACTCTCGGCCTCCAGAACTGTAAGATAACAAATCTGTGTTCTTTTTAAGCGACTAAATTTGTGGCAATATGTTACAGGAAGTGGGAAACTAACATAGAGGATGAGGAAGATGTCACAGAAGGAGAAGCTGCGTCTCATGCTGACTCAGTAGGCAGATACTCCCTGGGAGACTTCTCCATTCCCAGGCTGCACCAGACACCCACTGCCTGGGCCTCAGACCGCCTTGCTAAGATGGTCAGCCCGGTCAGCCGGGTAGCCAGGGGGCAGGGCTAGGAGTGTGAGGGGATTCCATCTTTTCTCTCTCTCTCTTTTTTTTCTTTTGAGACAGAGTCTTGCTCTGTCACCCAGACTGGAGTGCAGTGTCGTGATCTCCCAGGCTCAAGCAATCCTCCTGCCTCAGCCTACCTGTAGCTGGACTACAGGGGCACACCACTTCACCCAGCTACTTTTTTTTTCTTAGTAGAGATGAGTTTCACCATGCTGGGCAGGCTGGTCTCAAACTCCTGGCTTGGCAGGCAGGAGGGCTGTAATCTGTGGTGGCAGGCACCTCTAATCCCAGCACTTTGAGAGACCGAGGCAGGCGGATTACTTTAGGTCAGGAGTTTGAGGCCAGCCTGGCCAAAACGCTGAAATACTGCCTCTACGAAAAATACAAAAATTAGCCGGGCATGGTGGGGCATGCCTGTAGTCCCAACGCTTTGGGAGGCTGAGACGGGAGAATTGCTTGAATTGGGGAAGCAGAGGTTGCACTGAGCTGAGATCAATCACATCACTGCACTCCAACCTGGGTGACAGAGCAACTCTAGAACAAAACGTTGACAGAATTTGGTTCTGGTTTGGATACAGGGGATTAGAGAGAAGAGCGTGCCAATAATTGGTTTGTTCATCAATTCAATGAACATTTATTGAGCACCTGCTCAACAAATGGAGAACCCTATTCTGGGCTCTGGGGAGACAGCCATGAATGAGACAGCAATGCCTGCTTTTGGAAAGCTGACCTGGTAGGAGAAAGACCACAGACAAACAAAGGGCACAGAACATAATGTCAGGGGTGACGATGCCGGGAAGGAATGGAGCAGGTGCGGAGAATCTGCTGGAACTCACGTGCTGAAGAAGTGCCGGGAAGGGTCATCTCCCGGGTGACTGCTTCCAGCAGTGGGAGGGTAGGGAGCAAGCGTGTTATGCACACTGCACCAGGGCCAGGTCTGCAAGAGAAATAGACAAGGCCGCTTGGGTGCAGGGGCTCATGCCTGTAATCCCAGCACTTTGGGAGGCTGAAGCAGGCGGATCACTTCAGGAGTTCAAGACCAACCTGGCCAACATGGTGAAACCCCATTTCTATTAAAATACAAAAATTAGCCTGGCATGGTGGTGCGTGCTTATATTCCCAGCTACTCGGGAGGCTGGGGAAGGAGAATCGCTTGAACCCGGGAGGTGGAGGTTGCAGTGAGCCGAGATCTCACCACTGCACTTCAGCCTGGGCGACAGAGCAAGACTCCGTCTCAAAAAAAAAAAAAAAGACACACAAAGACTTCTATGTGAATGTCCACAGCAGCACTATTCACAATAGCCAAAAACTAGAAACAATCCAAATGCCCATCAGCAAATGAATGAGTACGGTTTTTTGATTTTTTTCTTTGTTTTGAGACGGAGTCTTGCTCTGTGGCCCAGGCTGGAGCGCAGTGGCACAATCTCCGCTCACTGCAACCCCAGCCCCCCAGGTTCAAGCAATTCTTCTGCCTCAGCCGCCTGAGTAGCTGGGATTACAGGTGCACACCACCACACCTGGCTAATTTTTGAATTTTTTAGTAGAGACAGGGTTTCACCATGTTGGCGAGGCTGGTCTCAAACTCCTGAGTGCCGGTGATCCGCCCACCTCGGCCTCCTAAAGTTCTGGGATTACAGGCATGAGCCACTGCATCCAGCCATATTCTCAAATTGATTGTAACGCTGGCTGCACAACTCTGTGAATATACTAAAAGCTATTGAGTTGTACACTTTGTTTTGGTTTTGTTTTCATTTTAAGAGACAGGGTTGCCAGGCACAGTGGCTCAAGCCTGTAATTCTAGCACTTTGGGAGGCTGAGGCGGACGGATCACAAGGTCAGGAGTTCAAGACCAGCCTGGACAACGTGGTGAAACCCCATCTCTACTAAAAATACAAAAATTAGCCGGGCATGGTGGTGCACGCCTGTAGTTCCAGCTACTCGGGAGGCTGAGGCGGAAGAATCGCTTGAGGCTGCAGTGAACCGAGATCGCACCGCTGCACTCTGCCCTGGGAAACAGAATGAGACTCTGTCTCAAAAAAAAAAAAAAAAAAAAAAAAGAGAGAGAGAGAGAGAGACAGGGTCTTGCTCTCTCGCTGGGGCTGGAGTGCAGTGGTTGCAGTGTCGGCTCACTGCAGCCTCGACCTCCTGGACTCAAGCGTTCCTCCCACCCTGGCCTCCCAAAGTGCTGGAATTACAGGTGTGAACCACAGCACCCAGCCTGAGTTGTACACTTTACATGGATGAATTGTGTGGCATGTGAATTATACCTCAAAACTGTTTAAAAAAGAAGAAACAGTGGAGACTTTCTGAACCTATTCTGGTTCGGGGGCTGCCAGATTTGCAAAATATTTTTTTTTTTTAGAGATGGGGTTTCACCATGATGGCCAGGCTAGTCTTGAACTCCTGACCTCAGGTGATCCACCCACCTCGGCCTCCCAAAGTGCTAGGATTACAGGCGTGAGCCACTGTGCCCGGCCTTCACAAAATATTTTTAAAAAGGAAAAGAAAGGGCTGGGCGTGATGGCTCATGCCTGTAATCCAAGCACTTTGGAGGCCAAGGCGGGCAGATCACCTGAGGTCAGGAGTTCAAGACTAGCCTGACCAACATGGTAAAACCCTGTCTTTAAAAAAAATAAAATTAAATTAAAAAGGATAAGAAAGAGAGAAATGGGGTTGGGGAAGGAGGAGGAGTTGGGGAGAAAGGAGGTGGAGAAGGAAAAGAAAGAGAATGAAAAAAGAGAAAGATGGGGAGGGAGGGAGGGAAGGAGGGAGGAAGGGAGGGAGTGGAGAGAGCAGGCGGGTTTGAGAGGTGGGTCCTGAGTCAGCAGGAGGGGGCAGCTGAAGACCGGAGTCAGGGTGTGGGAGTGGGGACAGTGAGCATGAGTGTGCCTTGTAGCGCCTGACTCATTGTCACTCCAGAAATGTCACCTTCTTTCACTGGTTGGGGTTTGTGTTTATTGGGTCGTCACTATTGCCAGACTTGCTGTGAGACAGGGTCAGCCCTGAGCCAGCAGGGGGCAGCAGAGGACCGCACAGAGCCACGCACGAGGGCTGCGGCTACCTGGAGCCCCCCCACTATGCACCCACCCCGTCTCTGCCCCTTTCTTTACCCCTCTGGGAACACAGAGAATCTATCCAGCTGCCCAAGCCGAAACCTGGACGCTGCCCTCCCCACTCGCACTGCGGGCACCAGGGCCCGCCCTCCAGGCCTCTGGAACTTGGCCTTCCCCCATCCCTGCAGCCCAGCCCCAGGCCAGGCAGCTTCTGTCCCCTCCCTGCTCCGGCCTCCTGCCTGGACTCCTGCCTCCTCCCATTCTCCCACCACAAAGCAGCCCAAGGGATCTTTCAAAAGCCCAAACTCCACCCAGACCCTTCCCGCTCAGAACCATCCATGGCTCCCCAGTGCCCTTGGAATCCAAGCTCTTCACCACAGCCTCCAACGCCTGCAAACTCCAGGGGACTCAGTCTCACCTCTCAGCACCCACTGCCCTCTCACCCCTGGCCCTGGTCTATGGTCCACTGGATTTAACTTCTTTCTGTTTCCCTACATACTGCATTCCATCTCACTTCCAGGCCCTTACACACCCCCAGGCACACAGCTCCACTCTTCCTGCCCACTCCGTTCACCTTCCAAGTCTCAGCTCACACATCTCCACCTCCAGGAAGCCCTCCTTGACCTCCTGTGAGCTCACCCACCCCAGACCTGCCGGCTCTGGGCCATCACTGCCTGGGGACGGGTCTGTCTCCCTCTGGACTGTGAGCTCGATAAGCACAAGTGCAGTCTCCATCACTGAGGGCTCCAGCACTGGCCAGCACAGGGCAGGGGCCCAAGGAGCGTGGATGCTTATTATACACATCCTTCCCTTTCCCAGCCTAGCAGTCCCCATTCATTCATTGACAAATGTTTATTGAGCAACTGCTATCACCAAACTCTGTTACATGAAGTTGACCGGCATGAGAGAGGGGAAGATAAACCAGCCCAGCTCCTACGCTCAGGGAGCTTGAGGTCTGTCAGGGGAGATGACCTGGAACTCAATGTAATAATAATAATTGGCTGGGCGCAGTGGCTCAGGCCTCTAATCCCAGCACTTTGGGAGGCCAAGGTGGGCAGATCACAAGGTCAGGAGTTCGAGACCAGCCTGGCCAACATAGGGAAACCCCATCTCTACTAAAAATACAAAAAAAAAAAAAAAAAAAATAGCTGGGCATGGTGGTGGGCACCTGTAATCCCAGCTACTCCAGAGGCTGAGGCAGGAAAATCACTTGAACCC